CGATTATACTAATTCGAGTTCGATTTCACTATAATTGACTTTAATTGTACTAATTTGACTTTAATTGTACTAATTCGAGTTCGATTTCACTATAATTGACTTTAATTGTACTAATTCGAGTTCGATTGTACTATTTCGAGTTCGATTTCACTATAATTGACTTTAATTGTACTAATTTGACTTTAATTGTACTAATTCGAGTTCAATTTCACTATGATTGACTTCAATTGTACTAATTCGAGTTCGATTATACTAATTCGAGTTCAATTTCACTATAATTGACTTTAATTGTACTAATTTGACTTTAATTGTACTAATTCGAGTTCGATTTCACTATAATTGACTTTAATTGTACTAATTCGAGTTCGATTGTACTAATTTCAGTTTGATTTCACTATAATTGACTTTAATTGTACTAATTCGATTTCGATTTCACTATAATTGACTTTAATTGTACTAATTTGACTTTAATTGTACTAATTCGAGTTCGATTTCACTATAGTTGACTTCAATTGTATTAATTCGAGTTCGATTATACTAATTCGAGTTCGATTTCACTATAATAATCCAAATACAAAATCATCCAAATACAAAACCATCCAAATACAAAATATTCATCTAAAAAAATATAGTTCCCCCAATCATCGCGGAGTCTAGTTCGATCGATGGGAGGATGCGAATACGGGCAACGGTCCGCGAAATGTTCGGGATCACCACATCTAGTGCATTGATCCCGGCCCCTTCTGCGGCGCGCCCGACGATCCATTTGCATTTTAAAGCGTCTCGTTTGGGCGCGACCGGGTCCAGGCTTCGAGATGATCCTCTCCCAATGTGGAATCAAATTCCATCCCACCTGCGGCCACGTGTCAGGATTTCCAATTGGAGCAAAATTCCAATTAGAAAATTGAGCAACCCAGTTCTCCGTCCAAAAGTAGGGATTATACAACGACACCGGTTGATCACCCCGGTGACGACACACTCGAATTGCATGAGAGCATGGTTTTCGATGTGTCTGCCACTTCCTACATGCACAACGCTGCTGCTGATAATAGACCTTAAACCTATTTTCAACAATGATTTATATATATAAATTAAAAAAAAATAAACTCATTTGAATGGAAAAAAAATTTCAATTAAAGAATACATACTTGTTTTGCCCTCTTCCATTGGCGCGTAGACCGGTTATCACCATGTACTGGGATCCGTCGGCGTCCACACATCGCACCTCGTGAGTCACCGCCGTCTTTTCCAACACCCGATAGGCGGCATAGAAGTTGGTAGGAATGGGAGTCCTGCATCCTCTGGACTTCTTTTGTTCCTGTTCAAACAAATCCAGAGTCTTGTTCATTGTGGCCTGTACCAACGCTCTGCAGGGCAGGAACCTAACACCTTTGAGGACATTGTTGTAACTCTCTGACATATTCGTTGTCAGAGTGCCTCATCGACGTCCTCCATCTTTGTACAGGGTCCACTTTTCCAGAGGAATTTTGAAAAGGTAATCGTATGCGTCCGGGTTACATTCATGGAGTTCCTGTCGACTCTGCTAAAATTTGCGGCGAGAACACAGTGAACCCAACCTCCAACACAAACCCCGGACTTGTTTATTCCGGTACCTTGAAAACACGTTGCTCCGGAGGTGTCGAAGGCATATCCGATGAAATGCATGGGGTTCGTGCCAAGTCTCCAGTAATTCAACGGCACTCAATATGCCATTGTCCCTGTCGGAAAGAAGACATATCGGTCTGTCGGGGACGACATGATGGCGCAGATGTGTTAGGAAAAAGGACCAGCTAGTCGTGCTTTCTTCGTCCACAATCGTATACGCGACTGGCAATAGACGCTTATTCGCGGTCTGTGCTATGGCAACAAGCAGCTTCCCCTTGTACGAACCTGCTCAGTTGGACATATGTTTTTTTTTTTAATCAGACACTATTGTAAATTAAAAAATAAAATATTAATTTACAATTAACAAGTATTTTCCCCTTGTACGAACCTCGCAGGTGCGTGCCGTTGATGCTAATAATCGGCGGACAACGAATGAAGTTTTGAATGGCGGGGCCGAACGCCCCGAAGACAAATCTGAATTCTCTGTCTCGAGATTGCTTCGCCATTTCTCCACCCTGTCATTCCCACTCAACGATTGTACCGGGATTCGCCCTTTGAAGAGCGGCGAAAAACCTGCAAATTATAAAAGGTAACCATAAATAAATAAATAAATAAATAAATATAGTTACAAACAACACATAAATACGTTTATAATTAATTTTTGCTTACTGGGGGAGTTGTGCGAAGTTCAATTCCCACGTGCCATGCAGACGATCAATGGCTTTTTTTCTCCCGTGCCACGCCTTCTTGTAACTGACATCGACGCCCCAGGCACTTTTTACGTCGGCCTGGACCATTTCCACACTGTAGGTCACCTGCTTCTGAATCTTAGCCAATAGAAGATTTGAGATCATGGTGGCGGTCACATTCTTGTGGTCATTTCTCTCGAACACCTGCATGCAAGTATGGCTATCGGTCCATTTGGTTACCTCCCACATGCCGTGATCCCGTTTGTTAAGACTCACCCGGGCCTTCCATATACATGGTACAACTTCATCTGATCTGCACACAACTTTGAACGACTTCTTGTTGGAATCTTTTGTCCGGACCGCCCTAAGCTTCTCAACATTCCAGGCATTAATACCAATCCGGGCTTCTTCCTTGGTACGAAAAACTGTACCCAAATGGATAGTCTCGACATGTCCATTCCAGGTTGGCAAGGCATACTCGTCCCTGTCTACACACGACGAGTCCCACTCACCCATCTCGCGATAATCGTAGAGGCCTTCATTTGTAAAGGGGTGTTCTTCAATGAATTCTTGTTCGCTCTCCTCATTAATTGATCTGTCCGATTCGGTTTTCGAGGTCTCATCCGTGAAATCGTCTTCACCAAGAATGAAATCTTCATCTCCAACAATTTCTTCCTCAATGTCCGGTCCTCTCATGGTAAAGCTCGTTCCTTCGCCGAAATTACTCGTCCCTTCACCAAAATTACTGGCATGCGTAGTCCACGTATCCTCACCACCAAACATTCTCTCGTAACCCTATGATGGCGTAGGATCCTCAACCTGTGTAACCTGTGTAACCTGTGTGTTTGCTTCCAACACTACATGCAAAAACACATAGGACATAGGAGCAGAGTAGTAAATCCACGAAAGAGAATTATCATTATGCAGTCTTCCGGTAATAAACGAACCATCCTGTTGTCTCGCCATCAAAGTAATATCCGAAATTGTCCAACTATCACGAAACCCACCATTTTCGTAAATCATATCTACCAATTGTTCATATGATATTATTCCATTAATAACAAATGAACAATCCGGACGAGACATATAATTCGAAAAATTCCATAACTCACTCTAGGGAATTTTCCAGTACACATTAACAAAGTATGGACCGTTAGACGACATTTATAACCTATTGCACAAAAATAATTTGTATTTTACAAATTACAACAACATAAAATGGCTAATCAAACACCACGAGAAAATTTCAATTATTATTTTACCAATCTACATTTAAAAATTCAATTATTTTACCAATCTACATTTAAAAATTCAATTATTTTACCAATCTACATTTAACATGGCTAATCAAACACCCGAGAAAATTTCAATTATTATCTTACCAATCTACATTTAAAACTCATTTCCAACAACAACATATAATTAATTATATTTTTACTCCAACAAAAATTTTCAATTAATTTATAAAAAAAACCACAAAAACCCTAATCACCAATCTACATTTAAAATGGCTAATCAAACACCCGAGAAAAAATTCAATTATTATTTTACCAATCTACATTTAAAACACATATCCAACAACAACATATAATTAATCATATTTTTACTCCAACAAAAAAAAAATTGTCAATTAATTTAGTACAATTGCCACAACAAAAACCCTAATCACCATAATCCAACAATAACATCAAATTCATAAACAATTTGGATAAATATTCAACATATATTAAACCAACATTCAAGATTTTCTAAACAATACTCAATTAACTAAATATATCTCTTAAGCATTCATAAACAACCAAAAATTAATATTACATTATATGAAAATAACAACTAACCTCTTCTTCGACGATTGGTTGAAAATTTTTTTTTTTCCCGGGAACAGCTTCAATTTGCCAAAAAATCGAGCAAAAAACGAGAGGAGAAATGAGATGGGAAAATTTGTTTTTTATTTTAATTGCAGCTTCAATTCGCAATAAAATCGAGCAAAAAACGAGAGGAGAAAATGAAATGGGAGAGGAGAAATGAAATGGGGGTTGTCTTGGACCTATATTTATCAAGAGAAAAACGGATTACGAAAATCCGTTTTACTCGTTTTTCAAACGAAAAACGGATTTTGAAAATCCGTTTTATACAGTATTATTATTAAATTCCAACGTTATCTTTTAAAAAAAAAAATCGATATTAAAAACGGATTCTGAATATCCGTTTTACGTAGTGGATGTATTATTATTATTAAATTTGACCGTTATCTTAAAAAAAAATCAAAAAGAAAAACGGATTGTGGGAATCCGTTTTTCTAATAAAATTTTTATTAGAAAAACGGATTCTCAGAATCCGACTGTTTTATACTTTTCCACAACTTTTTTTTTTTTTTTTTTTTTTT